TTAGTCTTGTCAATCCAAATTATTAGGAACTTCATGCATACTAAATCTAACGTAAGCATCATCTATTTTAGCCACCACTGAAAGAAGCTTAATTTAAATAACATAACGATCCGTAATATTAGGATTATGTCTCGGTGCTTGAGATCGAAGAATCTATCGAGTGCAACGACAAACGTAATCGTTACAAGGTGCGAAATTATGCCATTGAACTAATTATTAATTCGTCAATCTAAATTAAAAATTAAGAATATGGTTGGGTGTTAATGCTATATTAGGCTATAATCTGTCGAAAACTAGTTAGGGATTCCTTGCGCATGATGTATCATTTGCCACAACGAGAAACCCACGTGTATCTATAGTTGACCAAATCTTTTTTTTTTTTTTTTTGTAACACAGTTGACCAAATCTTATTAGTTGACGTTTTCGACAAATTTAATTAATTGACTATTTATATACACATGTATGGTCCAGCGGTCCGTATTGTTCCATAATATGCAACAAACATCGTAATTAATTATTTGAGTTTTTTGTCATCGTAAATAATCAAATCAAATTAATTTTTTGATTAGGTTATATGAAAACGTATACTCAATGTTATAGTTTTCATGATTTCGGTTGTCAATATAATTTACATTTAGCGAGCTGTTTGTTTTGTCTTTAGAGCATCTCCAGAAATACACTATATTTTTAAATTTGTAAAATTTTATATTTGAAATTTAAAAATATTATGCTCTAAAAGCAACATTTTAAACCTATTTCCAAAACTACTTGTATTTTATATTTATCATAACTAATTCAAAATAATAGAACTTTTATAAATAACTATCACATATATAAAAATATTACATCAATATTAATTAATAAAATATTACACTAAAATATAAAATTATAAATAGAAACCTATAATTAAATATTAAACTACAAACGAAATATAACACTAAATCTTGTAATATTGGTGTTGTATTGTTAGTTTTAAAACATTTAAAATCTTATTTTGATGTGTTAAAAAAAATTATGCAAAATTTAAATTTATAAAAACAATTTTAAACTATTTATGAGATAGAAAATTTTAAGGTTTAAAAAGATAAAGAGAAAAATATTTAAAAATTACAAATATGATGTATAATTGTAAAGAATAAAATACAAATAAAATATAAAACTTCAAATTTGAAGTTTTGAGTTGTAACAATTAAAAAACAAAATTTTGGAGATGCAAAAACTTCATATTTGAAGTTAGAGAGTGTCTTTTGAAGATATTATTAGCTTCTTCTTTTTTGGTTAAACTTTTGGATGTTTTTTTAACAAACTTTTGGATTTTTTACGAACTATTTTAACCATTAATTTCGTAATTGCATCTATTCAGTGATATTGTTTTTCTTGCGATTTAATTTAAACGCCAAGTCAATCACTTGTCTGTCCTTCACATGTGTCCACAACGCTCTTTTCTTTAGGCGTGGATTCATCACGTTCAACGGTAAAAATCGTTACTTTTTTGGAGGTTCAAAATTTTTGTTAATTTACTAAAATTATTTTAAATATATGTTTAAGTATTTTTCTCATTCACACAGTTTTAATAATCTATATTATAATGATACAGTTTAAAGACTCCTTAAGGTGTTCACATAGGCAAATTGTGGGCCCTACATTTTTATATTAAAATAGATAGTTTTTCTAAAATGGCTATAAACAAAGAAAATTAGTTCAGTCAAGTGGTCTTAAGCCCTATGTTTGGTCTGCAAGGGCATGGGTTCAATTCCCACTGCTCTCATGTTTTATACCTTTATTCTGTTTGTGAGTCCCGTAGATATTTTGAAACACCCATAGTCTTGGTAAGATAATTACAAACAATGAAATACACTTTAGCCAAGTGGTATAAGGTGTCTAATTAAGTATGCAAAATCGTGGGTTCAAACCACGCAGCTATCATGTATTTTTGATTTTTTTTTATTTGAGTTATTATCATATGGGCCTTTTGTTTATAAGGTTTTTATGTTTTTTTTTTTGGGCTTATTTTTTTAAATATCAAAATAGTTGGATAAACCCTAAATCTTAACAAGTTCAAACCCAAAATAGTTAAAAATGAATCCAAAACGAACAATAAAAAAAAAAAGCAAGTCTCACGCGGTTGCCTACGCGGATGGCTTAAAAAACCTTAAAACTATCCTATTATAATATAGCTCAACCCAAAAATAATTAAAAATAAATCCAAAAATGAACAGACCAAAAAAAAAAGTGAATTCCACGCGGGTGCCTACGTGGATGGCTTAATAAGGCTTGAATAATATAGATTAGTAGCACAAAAAGTTAAATCATTGCACATATTTCCTAATATATATTTCCAAAAAGTTTGTATGTGAGATAAAATAAAAAAAAACAACAAAAATTAATTATTTTCGTTATTTATTAAATGAATATGTAATTTCTCTTACATTTTAATAACTACTATAATTTCATTGAAAACATTCCTCACCACCGTCACCACCGATTCCACACTCCGGCGAATGGATTCCCACAGTCGATGACGCCGTAGATAAAAATGGCACATNTAATAACTACTATAATTTCATTGAAAACATTCCTCACCACCGTCACCACCGATTCCACACTCCGGCGAATGGATTCCCACAGTCGATGACGCCGTAGATAAAAATGGCACATCATTTATGAACAAAACTCAAACTTACAAAAAACCATATATAAAAACCTATCTAACGAAACTTAAACAACGAATATTAACTTAATTAAGGTTATTTTCAAATTGATAAATCTTTTAATACAAATATAAATAATAGAAATATAGAATTATATCAAGTTTTGATCTACGATATAAAAACTATTTACAGCAAAAAAAAAAAAAACACAGATACTTTTACACACTAAAAATTATATTATAGCCTAACTATTCTATAAACCTTACTTCGCATATAAATAACATTTAACATATACCTAATATTTTTCAAAAAAATTGTATGTGAAATAAAATAAAACAAACAACAAAATTTAAGTATTTTTAGTTATTTATTAAATGAATATATAATTTCTCTTACATTTTAATAACTACTATAATTTCATTGAAAACATTTCTCACCACCGACTCCAGACTTTGGCGAATGGATTCACACAGTCGATGACTTCGTAGATAAAAATGTCACATCATTTATGAACAAAACTCAAACTTACAAAAAACCATATATAAAAACCTATCTAATGAAAATTAAACAACGAATATTAACTTAATTAAGGTTATTTTCAAATTGATAAATCGTTTAATACAAATATAAATACTATAAATATAGAATTATATCAAGTTTTGACATACAATATAGAAATATGAAATTTTTCATTTCATTATTATTTGGTGTCATTAGAAGAATCCACTAAACTGACAATCGAAAAAAATACACGCAAATATAATGATCCCGGCCCCGCGCTTGCGCGGGGAGTACGCAACTAGTTACTTTCTAATAGATTACTCATCATTTCAATATTCCAAATATCTAAATTATTATTTTCTAAATAAATGATCAAAATTAATGTACTTTGATAATATATATTTTATTAACTTCTCTTTATAGTCATCATATACCAGAAATTTTAATTATTACAATCAATATACAATATTAAAAGTTCAATATAAGTTCAAGCTTATCCACATATGAATAAATAATTCGTCCAATAAGAGTATAGAGTTTCGCCAGCCAACGCATTGTTTTGGTCATTTGGGCTTCAAATATTCCTGCCCTAGAAGCGTTCAATTTTGTCCAATCCGTGAAGCACATCTGGCGGCGACTTCCCTTTTCCCCTTTCAGCGAAGTATAAACCCTAATTTTGCAAAATCGATTCGTAACCCCTTTCTATTCCTTTTCTTCGTATCCTCTGTTTACAAATCATTTTTATAGGAACAATCAATTCACTCCACACTCTTGTACACTCTTGAATCTCATTAATGGATTATTTTCGATTTCTCCCTTAGAGTTTCAATATAAATCTCTTACTTGATGTTTTATTTCCATCAAAAAGTTGTTATATCCTCTCGATTGTTCATTGCGATGTTGTTATCAGGTGTTTCTAACTCATTGAAAATGAACGGTGTAACGGTGGTTACCTCCAGTCTAGTCAATTCCGTCGCCCAAACCAGTGGCTCTTCCGGTGATCTGAAGTCGAAGAAATCAAAAGGCGTAGCGGCGGTCTCCTCCGCTCTGATCAAACCAAACGGCAAAACCGGTGCTTCTTTTGAGATCAACATGTCGGAAGGAGAAAAGTCTCTGCCTCCTCAGGCGCTAAAGGAAAATCTATCGTCTCCAACGACGTAGGGGAGATGATTACCTTCATTGACGTGACATTCGGGCCCCACGAAGGCGAGTTGCAGTTTCGGTTGATCCACTTTTGGGAGGCTTGGAATGCTCAGACGAAGGTGCTGATCGGTCTCGAAATGTTTCTCATCGATGAAGAGGTATAAACCGATATTTTTTTTTTACAATATTAGTTTACAAAACTGTTTTGTCGGAATGCTATCATATCATATCACATGTTCGCTAATCACCGCCTTCACATTTAACAAGATTAAGTTAGTTTATTGGTTAAGATTCATTCACAAAGTGGATTCAAAACATATGTTTACTTTAGCAACATAAAAGATTGACTAGATCAGATAATTATTTATTCTTATTTGCGGGTTAAATATCTTAGTTTTTGTTTTCATCCAAAGATATCTTGACTAGCCGATCTAGTTAATTCTCTTTTAATAACAGGAAACTGTTATCCAGGGCTTCATCCCTGATGGAAGGATTGATACTTATTTGCGTCACATGAAAGCTGGTGCCACTTACCGACTCAAAATTTTAGGTTAGTTTTGGGTAGATATTATGTTATGTGGAGGCGCTGTAAAAAGTTCAAAGCATCTGGAGGCACTGCAAGTGTTATCTTAGTCACCATCTTAAACCCAAAACGGCTTGGAGGTTTGTATTACCAACTTTAGTTGCTGTTCTAAGATGCTATATATGGTAGGAAAAATCTCTGTTTAGGTTAGTTTTGGGTAGATATTATGTTATGTGATACAAAGCTATTGAAAGATATTGTAACAACTGTTTTCTAATTGGTTTTACAATTTTAAAAATATATGAAGAAATAAGAGTCGACTAAGCTAGATAGGATCTGAGTTAAAGGTAATGATAGAACTCCTTTTTTTAAATTGACTTAGAGTTTTAGTATGAATCATTTATAGAAGTATGTGAGCAATCAAGAGTAGACTAAGCTATATATGATCTGAGTAACAGTAGATATATATACATATTCTGTTCTGAATCATGGCATTGGTTCTGTTATATGCGTCATATCTCTATCTTCTATGGCGACTTCACGGGATTTTATGGATAGTGATGTCCAAGAGACCCGAGTCTATCTCAGTTGGTAAGGTTTAAGGTTTCATGTATTGAAATATAATTTGAAGTAATCCACTAATTTAATGTCTGGTTTGACATCTTCATCAGGTTGAACTTGAACTTAGATGTTGCCAACAAAGTTAATGCAGAGGTGGTCACCAAGCCTTAGATATTGTCCTTGGGTGAACTCTTCTCCTATATGAAGGAGGAATCCACTAAGGTATTATAGTCCCTAATGTGTTATACGTTCAATAAGCTAATCTAAGTGTCTCATTGAATTTTACAAACATTTTGGCAGGTTGCTTGGTTTGAGTGCACAACGACTATTGATGATGTTGTGCACGGTTCTGGGTGGTATTATATAGGTTGCGGTGTGTGCCATACTAAGGCAACCAAAGGGTCTACAACGCTTATGTGTAAGAAATGTGGGAAAAGTGAGATTGTTGGTGTAGCACAGTAAGTGGTTTAGATTTAGTTACACACTTTCTCTGACTCCAGTTGGATATTAATGTCTCTCTGTTACAGCTACCTATCGAAGCTCTCTGTTTATGACCACAATGATCAAGCCGTATTTGTTGTCCTTGGTGATGTTGGTGAGGAGTTGACTGGAAAGAAAGCTGCTGAGTTAGTTGAGAGATATTACCAGGTAATCAAAAACATGTATGTTTATGAGATTTTTAAAACGTATTCTTACAAAAATATTGTAGATGTATTCCGAGAATGTTTAAATATATTTTAGGCCAATAAGAATGTAGGAGAGGATCACTTAGTTCCAGTGCCTCAAGCTATGATCGATGCCATTGGACAGATAAGGAAGTTCATTGTGAAGGTATCAAATCACAATTTGACTGGCAAGACTCATACTTTGACTGTGACAAAGATGCTCCCTATTGAAGCCCCAACACCCAAAATCAACTTAGGAGAGAACGTTGATGAGGAAACTGATAATGAAAGGGATGATCATGCAGATGAGGCGGTGAAAAGGTGTGCTGATGGGATTGAGTCAGAAGGTGCCAAGCGTGCCAAATGTGGCTAATGAATTCTTAGTACTGCTTTTGTTTTATCTAATATTATGCTTTTTTCATTATTTGGATTTTGCCTTTACTTGATTATAGCAACGTTGGCTATATTCTCTTTTCTTTATAATATCTATTATTAATCTCTTCCCATGTTATAGAGTCTGAATTGAAAAAAATACCTACCTATATGTCTTTCATTGTGGGTACTTTTCAAAAAAGGAGGGGGGGGGGGAGAGGTGCGATTATGAACGATTAAGGTGGCGAAGATTTACACATGAAATTAAGAATAATAATAAATACATTCTTTAAAAGAATATTCAGGATCTCACGTTTTAGGCAATTAGCTTCAATTAGGAATATGTAATAATCCTGTGCTCATTAACAAAGAACGCCAAAATCACCTCTTCTGCAAAGCAGAGATATTCGAAGCTTCCCTCAACCCAACGCAGCTCTACAATTCCATGCTCCACTGCAGCAGGTACTGTTGAATTAATCTATGTATTCGACATATAGGAATACAATCTTTGTTAATAGCTCTGGCCTGAGTTTGTTTTCACAATCTGGAAGCATCGCCCTGCTTGATCTATTATAGATATGTCTATATGTTTTTACAGAGATTTATTATTTAGTTTTAGGTATACGCCGAATAGTTAGGAACATCACATAGCTTTTGGTATAACCAACGTTTTCAGCTGTATTATCCATTATTTAACAATAAGTTTAGACACAATGTGTCAATGAATGTCAACTTTGGATCAGTTTTAGTTCAGTGATGTTTATTTCTCTTCGTAGACCAATGCTGAGATAGTTTAATTAAAAGTAAATTTTAATCAGAAGATATATGATTATACTAATAATAATCAATATATACTATCTTATAAGCTCAATATTAAAATTCAAAATTGACATTTTATGTGATAATTTGAATCATATTATATGCCATTGCATTTTTATCTTAAACCCGGTTTAGATAACTTCTTCCATATTAAAAAACATCTCTGCTTCTCTTTATTTAATTAATTTACAGCTCCAGTACATTAAAAAAATTGATTTCATAACTTCTTTGCTCGAATTAACAATCTTATGCAAAAAATAACTTTATAGTGACATTTCCGATGGATCACAACCATCAAAGGATCAACCAACTCGAAGAAGGGGTTTCAGCGCGCCCTATAAAGGTATGTATAAGGAGTATTTGGGACATCAAAAACCACCAACCAGAAAATACCCAATCATGCACCAGCTACATATGCTATGACCACCACGTAAGCCATATGTTACAACTTTTACATATACATATATATTTTTCCACAGTTTGGTATATTTGGTTTCGTCTGATCAATAATCACTTAATTGATTTGATAAGATAAATTTGTTTACATTCAGGGACAACTATTGAAAGGTCGGCTCTCCAACAAGAATCAGCCAACTGACACATGATTTTTAAGCGCAGGAGATACATATGAATTCTCTGGATTTTCCGTCGTACAAAATTTCCATGAACGGAAATTAACACAACTTCCGTATTACATTCAGATCGACCAAAAGATAACAATGTCAAATGTTACTGACATAGGTCTGATCTTTCCAGTACACAGTTTCTCTCCTCAGAATTACAAATGTCTACTGCGCTAAGCCACTACCCCTAGCTACTTACCGGGTAAGTCACTCGTCAAGCTTTCAATAAATAGACATAAATGTTTTACTGACAACACAGCCAATATTGTGCATATGTCATCGGGCAAATACGAATGATGCAAGATATAAAACCACATAACCTAGAAACGAATAAAAAAGTCACAATTGGTCTAATGCTGAACAAGTCAAAGATGGTTAGGCTCATGCTATGGGACAAAACAGCAGCAGAGTTTAGCATCCTACAAAGCAAGAAAGATATGCGATTTAAAGTTGTCATCATCACGAGCATAATACCTAAAAGTTTTCAAGGTAAGTAAATTTTTTTTATAAAACATATGAAGTAAATAAATATATATTTGTTTTAACCATGCACCAAAAAAAAAATCTTTCAGGAAAACTAGAACTCGCTTTATCACCAGCAACAAATTTATACTTCAACAAATCAATCGGACTCATCAAGAATTATAGAGGACGGATCAGAGGTCATCGACATGCATAAAAAAAACTCCAGCCATCATTCGGCTTTCTAGATACTTGGATTAATTTTACTTCCAAAACACTTGATCATTGGATTGTATTTTAAAAAGCATTTGATCCTTAAGTCATAAAATATAGTTTTATGATGGCTGGAAAATTTAGGGTTGAGTGATTAGAATATCGTATTTAAATATAAAATCATATGCATCTAAGGTATTCTTCATTTTATTTTTTTAAAAAGTAAAAAAAAAGATTGTCCCCTCAGAAAGACGATCACCAAATCAAAAAATTAAAAATTGAGAATAAGTTATTGGATCAACATAACTTTCAACATAATTACCTGGACGATATATTTTAATACAAACAATTTGAAATGTTATATTCGTGTCGGATCCTACTGATACAGTACTAAGAATTCAACTAATTGGCTAACCACCATGAACATCTCTATTCCCAAGAATAACAAAAGGATTTGAACCTCTAAATAGAAAATATAGAGAGTTGTCACATAATATGACTCTCTAATACTCTTCGTATCCAATGAGTTTCGTTATAAGTGGATACTTTGTGTAGATAATTAGGTTTCAATAAAACTTTTCCACAAAAATCAACCATTCGAAATTCAGTAAATTATTCAATATAAAATACATTTAATATTATTCCACTACTACTTCTTCTTGGCTATCAGTAATACAAACATTGAAACAAATAAATTATATTTTACAACAATTTTAAATTTAAAAAGTATTAAAAATAAAAAATATCCGTTCTATAAAACTATTTGATGGGAAATTAGAAAAACTGAACAAAAAAATTTAATTCACCAATAAAAAATTTCGTTTACAATATATTAAACATCCAATGTATATAAGTTTATAACAATGTTAAAAAATAATATATATATATATATATATATATATATATATATATATATATATATATATATATAAACATCCAATGTAGATAACAATGTAAATATTTCGACTGATGTATATATATATATATAACCATAATTTCGTCTAAAATGTTTATACCATTGTGTTCTAAACTATAAAACAAATTATGAAAATGGGCTCGGCAATTACCAGGCCCAATTGCATCTCAATTGTAATAAAATTGTAAATGCCCCAAAATTTGAGCGTTTCTTCTTTCTCTTGGCGAGAGGAATTTCAGACTCTTCGTCTTCAATCCTTCCATCGCCTTCTCATCAAATCTCATCCTCCATGACTGATGAAAGTAATTCTTCAAGTGATCGATCCAGACGTCGGAGGTTTAGGGAGGTCGATTACTCATTCGGAGACCATTACCACTTCCAATCACAAGTTCCGTTCATATCTTTCGAAGATCATCTCCGAAGAAGCCGACAGCTGTTCTACATTACTGTTCCGATGATCGGAATTATACACGCCGTCATCATAATGAGGAAGCCGCGATAGGGTATGATCATCTTCGTCTCTGAGGGTTTTTAGTTCAGTGTTCTCTAGATCCTAAGAATTCTTCTCTAGATGAAGCGTTTAGGATTATCGATAGCATATGCTGGTCTTACACTGTGATACATGTCCATACATTCTTTCCTAGGGTTGTGAGAGAGTTTCTCTCAAACAAACCCTTCAACGATGAGGGTGCTCTTATACGGGGACATTTGTTCAACTTTACACCTTCGGTGATCAACCGATTGATGATGATACCATCTGTTGAACACTCTTCTGGTTGGAAAGAGGTTGATCTGAACCATGTCATCTCACACCTCACTGAAGGACAATTCTCCGGATGGAAAGGATTCAACCTCAACGCTCTGATCTATCCTTTCCAAGCTCTATGCTGTGTATGTGAGCTTAACTGGCTTCCAGGTCCTGAGTCTGATCAAATGCTCAAAAACCTGCTCCGCCCTCTATATGTTGTAGCCAATCGCTGGAAAATTAACTATAGTCATCTTGTGTATGACCAAGTGATCGAGATGGTCCGCAAAACAGATTGGATACTAAGCTAATTTTCCTAAACCTCATATATCAACTCTTGATGCTTCAACACGAGGTTCCTTTCTAACAGGATATGAGGAACTTATTGGAATAGGTGTCCCTATCTATGGATTTGGAGATGACACAACTGGACCAAGGAGGCGTAGGAGGCTATACTAGTTTCGCAGCCAAGGTTTTTTTTGGTAAAGTCCATCACTATTTATGAATGTGACTAATACATGATCTTTTGGTAGGTAACTTGTGTTTCAATCCTTCATCAAAACGTTTGTAATCTCAAAACACTAAGTTGGTCTTGTGCGTTAAACGAATATTTTGGTATGAGTGAAAATGTTATTAACCAGTAATCCTTCTCAATAATAGCTTCACTATATGTTTGTTCCTACACAAACAATTCATGTTTATATCTTATACCTGCTTCTATTTTGGCTGGAAAATATAAAAGTGTGGTTCAATTGAAATAACACAATAACAATAAAAGCAATACATAACACAAGAGAATCCAATATATCTTCTCATGCAGTCTTTAGATCTTAAGTTGTTCTGATTTCCTTACTAAATCAACATTTCAATAATCATAATTTAGTAGATAAGATACCTCCTCATTGTAGTTCTTTTGGACAAAACAATTAAATAGAGTATAGACATTTCTTCAAACTAAATATTTTAGATTAGAAAAAGCAATATAACTTTAATATAACATCAATATTGTTGATATATAAAAAAAGTTAAAAAATAGAAACTAATGATAACCAATATATATTAAGTTCCAAAACAAAATTTGAAATCTATATTAATGTATTATCAATATTAATCATTCGATTATGCTATAACAAATAAAAAACCATAAAAGTAGAAAAGAAATGACACCTTCACACTTTAAGGTATTCAATAGATCAGATAATTATCAACACATTATATTAGAA